TCGTGATTATTGGGGCAAGGTTTTGGGGTGTATTAACTACAGACTACAGATGTTGCGGGCTTTCTAAGGGCATACTGTTCCTAAACCCTAACCCCCTCTCATTTGGGAATTGGCCTGCGGCGAGTCTGCTCGTAGAACTTATGAGAGCTTGGGTCTGCAGAGCCCAAAAAGCCTATCAGCCCTAAAAATTCGGGGTTTAGGGTTTAGAGCTGCAATTCCGGGTTCACGAAGATTAAGTTCGGGATCGCCAGTATACCCCTGACTTGTAAATGAAAACAAGCTAGCCTCTTATGATTGTTCAATCTCAAGAAAAAGTCAAGAAGATCCCACGACGAAAAGGGCAGAACAGCCCAAACCCTAAAAGATACAACTCCGGAGTTTTGGCTTCGGGTTCTAGGAGTCATTTCGGATTTTGGGCTTCACCAAAGCTCCTCCGCCCATACACTATACACCCTAGACTCAGCCCTTTGACTCTTCAGCACTTACATTCTACACCCTAGACTGAATCCCGAGCCATAATCAGGCCCCTATTACAGGGGAGAGGCGGCCATCGCCATCAAAGTCCAGCTAATCTGGGCTCATCTTCACTACCCGAAGAACATTAAGTCGTTAGGCTTGCTGCAGGGATTCCAAAGGCTGAGAGGCTTGCGTCCTTGGGCTTTAGGATGCTTTGAGGTGCAGGGGAAAAACGGATTGCGTGCCATACCGTAGATAAAGGGCTTAGGCCTGTGCACATGGCTCGGGACATGCGCATGCGGAGCGCGTGTTTCCGTATGAGGGTCACTTCCTCCCCTGCACATCGCAGCGTTGCAATGCGCTGCAGCAGGGAAGGCTTTTAAAATTGGAAGCGGCTTCATCTGTTTGCCTGACGAGCTTCAGCCCGCTTTGACGGTTTATCATCAAGGTCTACGATTTAATTGTTTAGGACCTCAAATATGATCCGAAGAGAGACCCCGAGACTCCAAACGCCCGTATTTCAAGAATATACCTGAAATCAGGCTGGAACCCCTCCATATGGTTCTTAACGCAACTGCATTCCTTCGTGATAGAACCTACGGAGTATTGGGAGAGAGAAACCAGCAGTTTTGAGGTTCGGGCTACCCTGCAAGCAAGGATGCGAAGAACTTAGGGTGTAGGTTTAGGATTTAGGACCCTTTAGGACCCTTTAGGAGTTTAGGGGTGTAGGAGGTTTTAGGGCATCAGTCGGGTCTGGGGTTCAGGGTCTCGGAAGATCAGACCTTATCTGGTACAACCCCGCTGCAGCCCAGAACATGGCAGCCCATAAGACTTCACAGAACACGCGCACGATGGCCCCAACTTCGAAGCATATCTGCTCGAAAACCTACCCGAGCCAAGAAGCCGAACACGATTTTCGCGTCGGCAGCATTTGCACGAGAGCCATGTCCTGCAAGAGGAGTACACAAATAGTTTGCTGACCCCCGTTCGCATCGTCGTCATCATCATCATCAGCGGCAGTATCACCGGCATAGTCATAGTTATCGTCGTCATCGTTGTCATCGCCCTCGTCCGTGCCCTCACCATCACAGCTGTCGTCGCTGTCGCCATGTGCGCCATCCATTTTTCATTTTCGTCCGCTTCATCGACCCCAACACCAATTTCTAGACCCTAGAAGACCCTCAACCCTCAAGCCCTGCAGCGCAGCTATGCTTCTTCAGAATGGATAGTCATGAGCGGGTACCCCAAACACCCCGAACTCATGATGGGTTGAAGCTTTTTGGGGTTCTGCCTGCAATTACCATGCCTTTAGCAACAATACCAGCAGTAACAACACTATAATAACAGTGATTGTATGGGGTATAGTAGCAATAGCAGGAGCAGAGGGTCAACCCCAAACCCACAACCCCAAACCTCCAACCTCGAGAGCCTATCCGCAGGCACCCGCACGCACACAGACAGATCAGTAACCCGAGGCTGTGAGGCTTGCAGTGCAAGCTATGGGGTTGCAGGTATAAGGTTTATGGGCTTCAAGGGCTTAGGTGCGCTGTTAGCGAAGCCCTGAACATCAACAGCATTCTGAGACATCCGGCACCCGAATTATCCAATCTGCTTCCCGACACGGCCTGCCAAGCCTCGACAAAGAAGGCGCGCAAGATGCCTGGAAGGCAGAGGCCTAAACTTAGAGGGTTCCTGTGCCTACATCCTTATCCCCAAGACCCCATAGAGCTAAACACCTTCAATGACCCGCACGACAACGAGGATGCGGCACAGCATGCGGCTCAGGAAAATGCTCATGACGAGATAGGCAATCAACATCTCCTTGAACTACTGAGAAACCTCCCCAATTCCACCAAACAACAACTCCAATGTAGGAGGTGTCTACAACAGCAAAGGAGACAGCGCTTCAAACATCGCCACGAGAACGAATACGCTAGACTCCTGGACTAGAGCCAAGGGTAGGACTTGAGGGTATGGACCGAACTTTTCCAACCTCCGAAGACAACAACACTCTGGGAGTCGTCGAAATGTAAACTTTCACCGGCATTGCTGCTGTTAGCTATAGTGAAATCTTGCATACGCATACGTACCCGTAGAAGAATGTACTGCATTGAGAAGCAGAGCAGTACTACCGGCCCACTGACGAAAATTCAGTTGGATCGTTGTCGACAGCCCGCTGCCCCCTAGAATTCATCCCCTCAAGCTCTCGACAAAAGGTCCCAGCACTTGCAGATGGGCCTCAACCACGAAATCCAGAATACCGAATGAAACATCTGATGTAGACAACTGAAGCACCAACATCAGATACCAGAACCGAAACTAAACCCTGAAAACCTAAACTCTTTTCAGCAATGCTGTGCTCTGTGGTGCTCCTCCACGGCTGATCTTACGAAGCTCCACAGTCTGAAACACAACAGCAACAGGATCCCAAAGCAATGCTACAAGAAACAACCATACGATCTTTGAAGCTCTTATGGTCGACAGCTGTAGGTCTTATGATCCTGGCAGCTCTACTGACAAAGATTTTTCAGCTCAACTTGTGCCTCTGGTTCAGGACGCCGAGGTCGAAGTGGTGGAAACTTGGCCGGGGGATTCCATCGTGGTCACCAGGGCTCAGGGCTTCAAGTACGATAGGGGAGCTTCTTGGCGTTCGGGTGCGTCCAGGGGCTTGCGTCTCCTAAGATAAGTTGTTTAGTGCGGTGATGTAGGCTATGAATATGAAGGAAGGAAGCAACCACGGATCCCAAACGACACAGCTCCAACAGTGGCAAATCAACCTTCTCGTACAACGAAGACTGGTGTCAGTTCAGTCCTATACTGGACGATCAGTATCATTACTATGCGATGGCGTGAGGCTGATAAGATAGGAGCTCCTGGAGGGGTGGATTCAACTTGTTATTGCACCAAAACTCTGAACGCAAGGCGTTGCTTTTTGAGCTCCCTACTTGTACTCGCTAGCCAGACTGAAATAAGATGCGTGAAGTAGTTACCACCCTAGCCCTAACAATGATTTCGCTCCAAGTGTCCGGTCTCCTGAGTCACTGACGACAGTGACTCCGGGAATGAACTGGGATGCCGTCTTCATCACCTGCAGACAGCTGCTGTTGGACTTCGGCTGGGAAATCTTCGGGACTTTGCAGCAAGCTTTTCGGCGTTTGGACTTTGCAGCAAGCTTTTCGGCGTTTCTGAGTGCCGTTGGAGTTGCTGAGGCGCTTTCAGCACCGTTAAATTTGAGAGGGTTTCGAGCCGGAGGTACGAAGCAGAAAAAGAACTGATCCACGTAAGTACAGACATCACAATGTGAATATCAGCTTTAGCTACAGCACTACTGGTATCACTTCAGTACCGCAATGACTACAGGTGTTGATGCAGGTCGCCGTTACCACGACGGTGGTGGTGGTGGCGATTGCGCTAAGGCTCGTGATCAAAATGATGATTGCAATGCCGACGACGATAGCGATGTCGAAAGCTGTCAGACTGAGGATGATGGTCGCCACGTTTTTGTCATATAGCAGCTTTGCTGTCAGGAAACTGACGGGCCATGCGTTAGGCTTCCATTTGGCTACGGCTGCTACTGCTTCTGAAGTTGCAAGCAAACTCATAACGGCAATTCGTGCCGTCAGTGCTTCGAAATTGCCATGATCGTCCGCAATTAACGGAGCTGTGCCATTGTCGCCAAGATTTCTCTTGTTTCTATGACTTGTTGCGACTACTCTGACAGTGACTGTGATTAACACATGATGCGTCTTGGAAAACGGTTCTGAAATGCTGTACTGTTGTCGGTTGCTTCATATTAAATCATTCCCGTGACGAGTGGCCGCGATGATAAGATGCTTGTATTATTATTGTGATGATGACGGTCATCATGATTATCATTGTCATCATCATCTTCACCAAGTCTATTTTAGGGGGTCCCCTTCCTTTCGTAAGCCACCAACAAATACTTCTATGAGAAACTCCCGCCACAAAATCAAGCGATTCGACGTGCAGCAGGGGGATGCAGCAACATCTTTGGGTCGCCGAAAGTGCACTTCAGCGGGGGTTCCGGGATCGGACTCTCCGCGGGATGATTCCTCGGAAGTGTCAAGGCTTTGAAAGGAGATGCCCTGTGCCGAAACTCTCACCCGAACATGACTTCAGCGGAGTAGAGCCCCGGAAGGCCTGACGCCCTGACGCAACCGCGAGCAATACAGCGCCACAGCTGCACTCGGCCATGGGAGATCATTGCGCACTTTTCGAAGGAAGAAGCCTGGTGGTATTTGCACGGCACGGCCGCAACTTTAAAAGAACTGCGCATTCGGAGACACGAGCAGAATCATCCTGCCATGTTCAGTCGATCAGCATTGCCTTGAACAGCAACTCTATAGAACTAAGCCCCGAAACCTTTCTGATCCGTGGCAGTGTTGCTCCAGCCCGCAACCAAAACAACTTACGGAATCCTCGCTTCTGCAGGGATCGCGCAACTGTGAAACGGCTCTGCATCTGCCCATGTCCTCGATCAGCTCGCACGTCACAAACGCCTTGCCGTTTCTATATCTTTAACCTGATGTCATGGTGAGAGAGAGGGAGGAGTGATCGCAATTGAAAATTCCGTTCGACCCCACGGAAATTGTGAGCGTGGAGCCAGCTGCAACGGTGGTGGCTGGAAACGTGAAGGGGGTGTCATCGTTGAGGGCGCTCGCATCGGTGATTAGCGTCGAGCCACTGAACATCCACACGTCGATACCTCCGCAATGCGCACCGAGTTCCTTCACATAGCCGGCCACATTCACTGCGTGCGCTGCTGTGAACTTCACCTTGAGGTATTGCTCGTCAGGGTGGTAGCCAGGGTGCATAGCAAGAGAGTTGTCGTCCGCTTTCCCTTCAGTGCTCTCTGGAGTAATGAGCACACCGGTGCTTGTGCCAATGCCTGGCATGTCTAACGGGCTCAAAGCGTTCGGGGTGATGAAACAATTCGGTGCTCGCACACCGTTTGCCTGTGTTGTATACTGCAGCATCGTCTCTGTCCCTGTCCCTGGAATGTGGCTGTTCGACGTTGCGAAAGTCCACCTTCCCAGGCCGCCTGGTGAGTTATAGTCCGCCAGGTCACCTGAGGCAAACGTGCTCGCCATGTAGTCATCGTGGAGGCTTGCCGCCTTGGCAAAGTGCGTCAGGGGTCGCAGATGACTTTGGGGCCTGGTGGGGGTTTCATTTTGGGCTCAGAATTGAAAAGCCGGGGTTCACAAGGCTTGCAGCGCTCTTGCCGAAGGGCCTGGTTCACTGTTCCAACTTGCTTCTTGCTTCCCCCACACGTACAACGATTCGCCTTTCCACATGTCTACGCTAGTACGCGCTTCCCCACGGACAAGCGTCAAGTATACTACGGTACTATACGGTAGTCATGTCATCTAGCAGAGCGCGGCTGAAAAAAAAAATATATATATACCTCTACTGTTGAGCTGGTACCTGCCTGCACTGCCGCTGATGACGGTAATAGCTCTGAAAGCTGTGAGCTTCCTGGCCCCCAAACCATGACAGGCCTGAAAGAGTCTTTAGAAACCTAAGTCAACCACCCCCCAAAGCCAAAAAGCCAAGCTACAGGAAGTGTTGTGGTGGTTGTGGCGGTGGTCATGGTGGGGGTGGTGGTCGCGGTCGTGGGGGTGGTGGTTGTTGTGGTGGTGATTGCTGTGGTGCTGCTGGTGCTGCTGGTGCTGGTGGTGCTCGTGGTGCTCGTGCTGCTGGTGGCGCTGGTGGTGCTGGTGGTCATGATGGTGGTGGTGGTGGTGGCAGTTATCGACGTGGAACGTGCCCCTATGACGACATACATCGTCGGGCCAACCACACAGTTGGAATGCACTGGGACTGCGCAGCTGGAAAAGAAGCGGCACTGCACTGAACAATACTTGGCCCTGACCCTCTGGCGGAAACGGCGCGGCCTTTTCTCAGACATCATGCCGGCAAGCCTGTAGGCGGGTTTGTCGAGATCGACGTACGCGAGGTAACGACACCCTGAAAGTACGCTGCACACGGACTTGCACTCGGCCAGGCTCGCTTTCTCGACTGTGGCCAAACTCCCTTCATCCATGCAGTACTGGCCCGCGAGGGTCGCGTCCACTTCAAACTCCAGTTGGCCAGCGAAGTCTTGCAAGTCTTTCTCTTTGGCCGTGAACGTCTTGTTGACTCGGCCGAGCTGCATGGCGCATGTATCATCGTGGGCAAAGCCAAACGCGATCATCAGCAAAAGGTGCCATATGACCATCATGGCTGCCATGGCGGCCATGGCTGCTGGCCAGCAGATTTTGCACTAAGTTACACTATGGCACCTACCCCTCCCCAGCCCCCGAATCCCGAAAAAAACAAGCCAAAAGCTTTGAATCTTTCAGTTGACTTGAAAACCGTTGTGAAGAAGCCGCTGGATCATGCGATACTTGCACCCTCATGCCAACAACTGCAGATTCAGACATCTTTCGAGCAGCCATGGATAAACTTCAAAAGTCACGTGGAACGTGCTTTTCTTTTGGACCCCTCCTCATTCAGACACGTTCAGACTCACTTGATCAAGCCATTGTTGTAGTCTTCGGCAAAGCTGCTTACCAACTGTATAGCTCGACCCCTGGCATACGTTAGAAAGTTTCATTCAACCTGCATCCCAACTCTGGGCTGCGATGATTGCTTCCCCGAGTCTCTTCTTCGTTGCGGAGCGTTGTGCTCAACTCAACTTCTAATCCCCCAAGACCACCGTATACATTCTACGTAAAATGTTCTTAATCACGGAACATTCTTGCTGGCGACCCAAACAGTGTCTCTGTGTGTGTACACCCAAAAGTTTACGACAGGAGTTTGTGGTCCATGTTCATGCTGATTTTTAGATGAATCTTGGACTTGCATCAGGGCTGCGGAAGTATTCGTGCCCTCTCCCAAATGCTAGCCCCGACTTTACTACTATCCTATACCCAGATACCTGATCACTGCGCCCTTTGGACCCTTTTCTTTAAGGCCAGAACATACTCAAAAAAGGCCCTCATCTGACTCCCAGGGCTCCTACCCTATATAGCCCTTTAAGGGAACCACTTTAAGCCTTTAAGCCTGTTTCCTAAACCCTCAACCCTCTAAGGACCCTCATTCTCTAAAGGCTCCTCAACCCTAAACCCTCAACCCTAAGACCCTAAACCCCAAACCCTAAAACCCTAAAACCCAACCCCCCCCAACAAAAAAAACAAAAAAACCCTAAACCCTAAACCCTAAATCCTAAACCCTAAACCCTGAACCCTGAACCCTGAACCCTAAAAAGAGCCGAAGCTTGCGAGATCCCGGCCGCCGCGGCTCGAAAGGCTCGCGGTTCTTCCAGGCCGCTGAGCAGAGAGCCGAACGATCCCAAATTTTTGGGTTTAGGGTTTAGGGTTTAGGGTTTTTAGGGTTTTTAGGGTTTAGGGTTTAGGGTTTAGGGTTTTTAGGGTTTAGGGTTTAGGGTTTAGGGTTTCGGGATTTGGGGTTTGGGGTTTTGGGAGTTTAGGGACTTGGGGCTTTTGGGGATTAAGGCTGCTTAAGGTTTTTGGTTTGGGGTTTGGGGCTTCGGGTTTCGGGTTTAGGGTTTCGGGTTTAGGGTTTTAGGGTTTGGGTCATTGGGTTTGGGGGGGTTGGGGAGTTTGGGGCTTCCGGGTATTTCCGGGTTTTGGAAGTGAGGGCTTCGCTCTTTGGGGTTTTCAGGGCTTCAGCATTTAGGGCTTAGGTCTTTTGGGCTTCCGGGGTGTTCGGGGCTTCGGGGTTTGGGGCTCTTGGGGTCTGTTCGGCACTGAGGAATTTCGGGGCTTAGGGTGACGGGCCGTCGGGTTCAGAAGCCTGTGCTAGATATCATTCATTGTTTATTCTACATATTATGTTTCATATTATTATATCTCATACATTTCCTATCACATACTATATATTAGGTATTGTTACTATGCACTATGTAACTATGTAGTATAAGTTTTATACTACGTTATATTGTGAAGTGAAGTTTCAGGTCCACCGAACTACTGCGCGGAGGGTTTCTGGCTTCAGGTCACTTAGGTTTCAGGGCCCTGGGTTGCAATTTGAGGATTCCCGAGGCTCCGCATCGACGATTTCAGCGAGGTTTTTGGGTGCTCGGGTTTGGGGCTGCAGGGTTTCGGGTTTGGGGCTAGGGTTTAGGATAAGACTGCGTCCCAACACGTAAAGCCATGAGAACCCTGTTGCAGCGCCGAGCCACTGAACCCCGAAAAGCCCTTAAATTCCAGCAAAAAAATCCCTACAACTCCGCAAGCCCCACGCACCCCCATAGACCCATCACCAGGTTTAGGGGTTTAGGGTTTAGGGATCAGGGACCACTCCCTGAAAAACCTGAAACACATCTAAACCCTCCAACTCGGAGGCTACGGTAGTATGCTTGTACTTCTTGTCATGAACCTTGGACGTAATAGTACCTACTTATTCTGATTCTTGTCAATTCCCACGCTTATTCATATTTTCGATGTTTCTATGTTGGTTGTGATTATCAGTATTGTTACTCTTCTTCTTCTTCTTTTTCTTCTTCTTCTTCTTCTTCTGCTTCTTCTTCTTCTTCAGCTTAGTAGTGTTGCCAGAACGATTGTCGTTTGCTAAGAAACCTTTGAGAGATCGTCAACCCCAAAACCCTAAACCCTAAACCACCCAAAACTCTAAACCCCCCAAAAACCCTAAACCCCAAGCCCCCAAACCCAAAACACAACAGCAAACCCTAATTTCGGGCCTTTGGGCGCCTTTCCTCGCCGAGGGCTCCGGGACCTGCCTGCGGAGCTTCGGGAGCATCACCAGGCCTCTCTTCTTTGTTTTGGGGCTTAGGGCTTGGGGTTTCAGGCTTCGGGTTTAGGGTATCGTAACAATAGCAATAATGGTAGTACTAAGGATAGGAATTAAGAAGGGTAACTACAATAAGTGTAAGTACAGGTTTTGACAAGGAGCCTTATTCTCCACAGGGGGATAGATTGGACATAGGCCTTTCTTTGGGGGATTCGGGGCTTCGGGTTGATGGTTTAGGGCTTGGGTTTTCAGGTTTAGGGTAGGGGTTAGGTGGGCGTAGTTGGTCTGCAAGGGTTCATCGTCCATTGCTGGCAGTGTTGCGGCAATCATATCGGTTAAAGCCCAATATACCATGCGAGAGTCTGGCACTTGCAAAATCTTTCGGATGACAAATGCTGCAATTCCGGGGTTCACGAAGATTCAGTTCGGGATTCTGTCTGTCGCGAGGCTACAAGCACAAGCCTCGCCCAGTTGCATGGCGTTGCAAACAAAGAGCCGCTCAGTAGCACAGCACCCTTATTGCCAACATGCCCTGGTAAGGCTGTTTGAAGTGCCACAAAGGCCTTCGGAAGATTTACTTGTCTGAAACCCTATAGCAGTAGCATGCAGAGTTGTGGAACGTTGTTTCGATTTCAGGACTCCCTCCAATTTCAGAAGTTCCGCTGAATTCCCCAAAAACCTTGTTGCCGGCGAAGCTGCGCATCAGGAAGACTGCCGTAAGTCTTCACCAGATGCTGCGACAGATCCTCAAAAAGTAGCTTTTCGGTTCTTTGGGCTTCGGGGTGTAGGGTCATGAACATGAGAATCCGACAAGCAACAAGTAGCAAGTACTTAACAAATCCATATCTAACTCCAAAGCCTTGACGCACCAGGAGAAGCTCGAAACATGTTGAAAGAGGAAATGGGTGGGTTGCAGAACTTCATTGTTCGCCCCCCAACCCTTCACTCTAAGAAACCCTCAGAGCTGAAACCCCAAAGACGCTTACACTGGCATTGAAGCAAAAGCGGCTGCTAACGCGAAAATCTCCGCACGCCGTGGAAGAGCATCACAGAGGATCAAGAAGCGATCCCGATAGATGCCTCAGCCGGTTTCGGGTTCAGGGCTTAAAGGGCTCCCCAGTATACAACCGCCTTATGTAACACAAGTTAACCTTTCCCTTATGATTGTTCAGTCTTAAGAAAAATCTAAGGAGCTTTCACGAGAAAAAGGGCAGAACAGTCCAAACCCTAAAAGGTACAACTCCAGAGTTTCGGTTTCGGGTTGAAACAGTCAAAGCTCATACGTTATACACCCTAGACTCAGCCCTTTCACTTACATTCTACACCCTTGACTGAATCCCGAGCCACAATCAGGCCCCTATTACAGGCGAGGGGCGGCCATCGCCATCAAAGTCCAGCAAACCTGGGCTCATCTTCACTACCCGACGAACATTAGGTCGTTAGGCTTGCTGCAGGGGCTCCAGAGGCTTGCGTCCTTGGGCTTTAGGATGCTTTGAGGTGCAGGGGAAAAAAAGATTGCGTGCCATTCCGTAGCATCGATGATGGGCTTACAATGTCCCTGTGCACATGGCTCGGGAATGCTTCTGGTTCAACTGCAGTGCCGAAGGCTCCCTATATATATATATATATCAATAAATAAATCCTTAAAGACCATATTCACGAATATCACTTTTATTATATAAAATAAAAAATAGTTCCTAGAAAATGTAATTTATTTAAGATAATCATATCAATTAATTAACATACCTTCGCCGATCCATACCATAAAATTTCATATTTTATGTAAATATTTCGATGAGACATAATGAATTTCTCATAAAGTAAACGACGAAATTTCATAAACTAAATCCAAGTAAATTAAAAGCAAAAAATTACGACCTTAAGTATATTTACAATACCACATATTACGAACGCGAGAAATCTCAATATCAACTATCCTAAATCTCAATATCAACTATCCTAATTCTCGATTCGTTTCTCCTTGGAATTTTTCTCGCCGCCAATAACCCAAATCCAAATTGGCCAAATTTCTAAGAATACATTAATAATGGCCGACGGCCACCTTAAGCATCAAAGTGAAATATACAATTTCCGTAATTCATCGAAGAAATTATTCGCATCATTGAAAAATACAAATTCAAATATTCGGCCACGAATTCAATCAAGTCCTTGAGATATTCTGAAATAAATATTGCCATAATTCCAAACACACCATGAAATTCTCTCGCTTCCAACAGGCCCAATAAATTGAATCTCTGAGATTGTGTATGATTGACATGAGGCTCTCCGATTTTGGGATAATTAATTTTACAACAGAGCTATTTTGTGCCCACCATAAATGTTTTTTGAATTTGCTGTCAGGGGTTTAGATGGGTTATCTTCTAGGGTTCAGACACTTAGGGCTTAGTGTTGAGGGCTTGGGGCTAACTACAACCCTTGCCGGGGTCTAAAAATGCACCAGAGCAGGCTATGCTTGCCTTTCAA